ATATGATCAGGCAAGAAAAATGAAAATTTTAGTATGTCAATCAAGAAATATAGTTAAAAATATTAAAAAAGAGATCGAAAGAAAAAAACAAATATTAGTAAATAATTCAAATGAACCAAAAGAATTAATTGTAGAAGTAATCAAAGAAATTATTGATGATAACATAAACAAATAGTTTTTTTTATTTTGTATAAATTTTTAATAAATTTAAATAAAAAAATTATCTTTTGTTTAAAATATCGTTTAATTCTGGATACTTTTTAATGATTTTATTTTTTTCTTCTGATGATAATAATTCTTTATTAATTATTTTTTCTAACATGTTGTAAAATGATTCTCTTTCTGTTGAATAATCAAATCTTGTTTTGTTTGCTACGTGTAAAACAATATCATAAATATTTGATTGTTTTTGATATTTCAAACGTTCTTTTCTTTTTTTTTTAACCTTTTCAGCAAGTCATGCCAATACTTTATTTGCAATAAATTTTGTGCTCGACAAAAACATTAGAATACATATTTACTCAAAATATATCTAACTACACAATTTTTTAAGTATTGACTCACCTGGTTACCCTAAAGGTACCTATGTACGATCTGCCATAGTGAGTCTTTTTCCTCATTATTACTATCTAATCTTTCGAAAAAATAATAACAAATCTCTGAGTAGATACCACAGCCTATCATGACTTCTCATCTATATAATAGACTACTACCAAACTGATAATAGTTTCTTGTATAGCAAAAAGGAAAATAAAAATTATATATATAATGAAAGACATAAAGGTTATGTGTCATATAATATAGTTGAATAGAGGAAATCTGCTAACAGAAAAAAACTTCTAAACAACAAACAGATAAAGAAAAAAAATAAACAAAGTAAAGTCCTACCACTAAAATAGGAGACCAGATAAAAATTATGTATATATAATATCTAAGTTATTCTTTAGATTCTCAAAGGAATAAAGTACTATCTTACAGAGAGAATATCATCAACACGGATTTCCTATGACACATGTTAGGCTTGACATGTGTTTGTTGTTTGTATATGGCATGAGAAATAATAAGCTAATATCTAATAGTATTTGTTAATGCATGTTGCAGATCTTTTGAAGGGGATAAGCCAAATCCTCCAAAAAATACTAAGTGATTTAGAGAAAAAAATCTAAAAGACGAAGTCATAGAAGGCCACTTCTAATAGAGTAAGATTTTGCTACTTGTTTTCTTATTAAATAGTACAAATATATGTTATATCTAGTTATTTCTGTGCTAGCAAACTATTAGTGAGCATCACTTGAAATAACAGAGATATTTGACAATTTTTCTTGCTTCTGCTACTACTTTTTTGATAGTACCCAAGAATTACTTCTAGATAAT